GAATCGCGTGCTTTTTTGACACTGGTAAAATATGTACGATAGATTCGAGAAGGGGAAACAATTGTTGAAATGATAAAACCGGAAAGAATAATAAATCTGGGGCGATTTATTTCACCATTGGCTTTTATCTTCTCTTTTTTGTATCAGAACACAGATTTTTTTTTTCAGAATACGGATTTGTCTCACAATTACGTTTAAATAATAATAAATTAATTGATGTGAAATTATAATCGATTTAAATTGAAATTATAATCGGTTATATCTGAGACCTAATACAAACCTAGAGCATTAAATATTTCATTTTCTTTGCCTTATGTTCTTCTTATCAGCCGGAGTATCGTGGATGGTTAATTTTTTGGTGGGAATCGAACCCAAGACTGAATTCTGAAGGGTGTAAGAGCCGTGAGCCTGACTCGATAACCACTCGGCTTCTTCGGTCCCTTAATTATTTCATTCATAATTTATTAATTTAAATGAACATTTATGGTTTATCTTTAAACAAATTTACGCTCTACTTGTTTATTGTGAGAGAATAACTTTTGCCTGATAATACCAACATGTCTTATACCCTGTGTATTTATGGTGTTTGCTTATTTTTGACAAGCGTTTCTTAGAAGAAGAAATCATATCAGAAAAATTAATTCCGTTCAAATGGAGATGACTGACCAGACGGGGCAGTCGAAAAGTTATATCGAATTTTGATTTGCTTGTTCGTACGGAGTGGGAAAAGGTTAACACACAGTTGTAATTTTTGATCAGTGACAACAGGGGAAAATGGAAAAAGAAAAGGCGGAAAATCAGAGAGCTGTCTCTTATTCGCATTTGTCGAAGGAAAACACAGTCCAACGGGAAAATATTCGACAAAACCTTTTCCCGTATGCATGAAAGTGCTCGCCGACCTGGGCGGGCCTGTGAACCTCTCAGCACCGGGGTCAGAGACATTGAAGGGGTTTCCAGCTAGGAAAAGTGCAATTTCCTTTTCCAAAATCACCTTTTTATATCGGCTTTGTGACAATTTTTTCCACGGTACTAGCCTGGAAAAACGAAAACCGTCAATTGTATATCTAACTAACAAGAAAAAATACACTTTTAATATTATACAATTCAACTTACAAAATAAATTATGTTTCAGTTGATAAATATGGATATTTAATCATCTAAAAACTGCACTTTATATTACAGTTTCTTGTTTATAATAAACGTTGTCCATAGGAATTATAGGATATTCTGCTACTCATGTTACGAACATTGCCAGTAGATTCTACATTCAAAATGGTACCTAAAAGTCCTAATTAACTATGATCCGAATCTCAACAGTTTCGGAGTTATCCTATTTTTTAAGATTTCACGACCTTGCTTCAAATAAACAATAATAACTCCAAAACTAAAAGGTTTTGGACAAATCCGTTGATATCATTGAAAATTACGTTAAATTTCCAATAAGACGTGATCAATACTAAACTTGTAAACGTGAAATAAGCGTGTTAGAAGCCAGAACTTTGAAATTTTTTTTTTCAAAGTTTAAAATTTACTTAGGTGACTCTAAACTACTATTTCCAAACCTAGAGACCTGCAAATTTCATCAAACGTACTCCATTTAATATCCTTTTTAGTATAATTTCTTTTTTCAAAGATGAAAAATTGATGGAGGAAAGGAATAACCGTGGCTGACGGGTTAGTAAGGTGGAAAGATTAATAATTATAAAAAATTACCTTAAGTTTTTTAAATGTCCACCACGGACTCGTCAGCCATCGTTTTTTCCTTTAGTAGTTTAGAATCACCTAAGTAAGTTTTTAAACTTTGAAAAAAATATTATTTTTCTAAGTTCTGGCTACCAAAACGCTTATTTCTCGAACTTTACAAGTTTAGTATTGATCTCATCTTATTGGAAATTTAACTTAATTTTCAATGGTATCAACGTATTTGTCCAAAATCTTTTAGTTTTGGAGTTACCATTGTTTATTTGAAGCAAGGTCGTGAAATCTTAACAAATCAGAAAAAGTGGAATAACTTCGAAACTGTTGAGATTCGGACCATAGTTAATTAGAACTTTTTGGTTCCATTTTTTTGAATATAGAATCTACTGTCAAAGTTTGTAACGCGGGTAGGCGAATACCCTGTATATACTAAGACTACCTATGCCCCATTATTTCCTTAAGAACTTACTCCAGCTTACTTTAATTACATACCAAAAATAAGGATTTTCTTTAAGAAAGGATAATATTTTCAACAATGAAATATACATTATGTCTGTTCATTACTACCACTTTGAGATAGTTTGTTAAGGTCTGCAAGTTGTCTGGTCCTGTCTTGCTTGCGTGTAAATCCATTAAAGATTTTTTTTCCTAGGACGTACTATGTGACAAGAGCTACGGTATTCCATTGAATAAATGGATTGAAGAGGAAGTTGGCACCTGAATCGGCCGGAAATCTCAACGGAAGAGGGTTATGTTTCGATGAATACTTCCATACTATTTAGCGAATAAACCTCACCGCGTTATAATCATGATCGACCATAATCATACGGTGATTTGTTCACCGTTTGCAATTAGATTAAACATGAATGAATTTTAAGGTCGAGTGGAAAGGTTACAAATTTTTTCATTGTTTGTATTTTTGATTGTTGTATTAATGATTGATGTGTATTTTTTTGCGTCTGATTAATAATGAAGGAGAACTAAAATTCATTGGGATGGAAGGACATCGCTTTTATTTCTTTATTCCACCTTGTTTTCAACACAAAAGGTCTTTCTTTTATTTTAGCGCAAATTTCAACGGAATGAATAAACACTTTTTATTACTAGACCAAATGAAGGCATAAAACTCTTTGACATAAACCGGTGTGGTTCGTAAAAAGTTAATACTGCGTGAAAGACATTTTGAACTTTTATTGTATCCTCTTCCCTTTGCAGATAAAAGCAATGACATACTTAAATAAAAATATTGGTCTCATGCTTGAATATTAAAAATAATAGAAACTATTGATGTATTGACTTTTAGCATAATTAATCAGCTTAACAAGTTTTCGAACTTATTATTCGTTAAGATTTTATCGAGATAAACATTCCAGGTCAATTAAAATTTCATAAATCAGGATCGGGTGACTTGAATGCGTCAAGCACAAAGGTTTCGTAACTAGCTGTGAATGAACAGCTGCACTCGCTATGTGGTATAGCCCTTACAGCTGTCCGCAGGCCATTCGTACATAAACATGGACACTTGAACACAGCGTTGACTCATCAAACATTCTCATAAAAGTCCTTTACTCATTCGGGCTTTCAATCCAGCCACAACTTAAAAAAAACTGCATAAAATACCTGAATCTTTTTAACCTTTTTATGTATTATCATGATTGTATACTGCCGTTTTCTACAAGCTATAAAGTTTTATAAGGAAGCAAAAATAAAATAAAGAATAGGAAAGGATATTCAAAGCTTATTTAGAATGCAAGGGTGCACTCGATCGCTTGGCAGTATTTCATTCCTGTACCATACAAACATATATATTTGAATTTATATATTTTATTGAAAACAGTGTGATTAATTAAGTGCAACAAATTACGTTAAAAAAATCAACTTAAATATTGTTAGAATATACAACTGATTAATATTAAGAAAGATGTGTAGAGATTAGTGACCGTTAATCGATAGTTATTCAGATATCGTGAGATGCGGTCGGGTGTGATGTAGGTTTCAGAAAGTATGTCTTTTATATACCGACTTCCCCAACCCTTCAAAACCAAACATATATAAACATAAAACAGCAAAATCTCACTGGCACTCTCAACACAACACGCAAGGATGGCACAATTACACAGAAGACAAAACTTTGAGTAGAAATACTTTGTTTGAATATAAAATATATTTTGCATTGTATAAATTCACTTTTCCACATCCTAAATGTACTTGTTATATGTAAACAATGTTTGTAAATCCCAGGCTCTGAAGATGATCTCAATAAAGATCGAAACGTTGGCACGATAAAGGAAATGTTTTTCTGAAACCTACATCACACCCGACCGCATCTCACGATATCTGAATAACAATTAAGAAAGATTATTATAGACATAATTGTGCTTCAAGTTTTTATTATTACAAGTATGTAAAATGCTAGCTGGGAGCCGTGCATGTTAATTTTCGATCAATCAAAATTTAGCACGAGCAATAACAACAATCATAATTACTAATAATAATAATAAATTATAAAATTAATTCACGAATGCTTTACAATTAGTAAAAGTATTTGTACCTTTACGTTTATTCTCCGGTATTCTTCAACGGTTGGTCGGCGAGTTTTGTCGTCAATCGTGTCCTTTAATAAGTTACACACGTGTAAGAAAGGACACAAACGGGGGGGGAAAAAAAAAAAAAAAAAAAAAAAAAAAAAAAACAGACCAACCGGTGGCAAAATGCCGAATCGCGCCAGGGTCAACAGATCATGTAGTAGACAACTCAAGATTTAAAAAATATGTATAAATTATATTTATTCTTTGTAATAAATTCATTTTACAATAAAGTTGATAATGGAGAAGCTAAAAACACACAGACACACACCCAAACAAGGTCTTGAGCGACCGGGTTTCCATTGATACCGTTGATATTAATGGTATTTTTATTCAGTAAAGACAGTGACTTCAGAAAAAAAGGTTTTTATTAATTGTATTTTTCTTCTAACAGCCTTTTTCCACGAAGCTTTTCTTCCTCGTTAATATTTATTCAATTTTCATTTAGTCAAATGTTGGAACTATGCTTTGATCCCTTGATCCTTTCTGTTCCCTTTGTTGTTTCTTTTTGAAGTTGTAACTGCTTTCCGTCTGACAGTGAACATTAAAGAACATTCTAGAGGCCTTTTTACCGTACCCTTGTACCCTGTAAGCAATGGCCATTAATTGGGGGTTTCAATTTTTTCCTTCTTAGGTCTTTTCTCAGTGGATTGTTTTAATCTAATAAAATATAAAATTGTAAACATTTTTGTAAAACGTTTTTGTTGTTTGTTTCAGGGTGGTGGAGGGGCAGTGAATATGCTAGAGCTGGTGGGGGTGGCATGGTTGCTGCTCGCGACGTGTTCAACCATCACGTCAGGAAGGCGAAGCACGACCGTGCTGCCTGACGATGTCCGCCCCGGTTACACGGTGCGGAGGTTGAGGCCGAGCCCTGAACACACGTCTTTTACTCTCGCCCATACACCTTTGTCAGATTATTTTACCGTACTCGAAGACGGTCTCGTTATGACCACCGCAGATCTTCATCCGCTAGTCGACCTACCGGTGAATCTGGGCGTGCTAGAAGAGACGCCGAACACTACTTCCTCTCACACCTTGCACATGTACGTGCTGAAAAGGTCGGAGATGCTCAGGTTTAGGAAGAGCAGCTACGAAGGAGCTTCCGTCCTCGAAAACTCGCCCGTCGGAACCGAAGTGACGATGAGTCCGTTTTGGGCAGAAGGCACCGGCACAGGGGGTCCCATCCGGTATAGTATAGTCGGAGGGAACGACCACGGGGCCTTCACGATCCATCACAACAGGTCTGGGGCATTCCTGAAGACCGGGAGGGTTTTAGATAGAGAACATAGAGCCCAGTACAGGCTTACCGTGCAGGCGAGCGATGCCAAAGGGATAGATAGAGCAAATACTCACGTCTTTGTTGACATCGCTGACGAAAACGACAACGCTCCGGCTTTCGACAAAAGGCTGTACAGATTTACGCTCGCCAAGAAAAACGGGTCGGATTGGCAGAGGTTCGCCAAACTGGGACATGTCCACGCCGTCGATGCGGATTTGGACAAAGTAGCCTATAGACTTAAGGAACACAGTAATTTAGTAGTCATGGTACCTCAGACGGGAGAGCTTCTTCTCACCGGCAACCCAGGCTTAAACACGGAATACGAACTTACAGTGCTTGCTCACGACTTAAGGACCCCGTCGAAGATCTCCAAATTCCCGGCCAAAGTCTACCTAGAATTCGACGAAGAAGATGAAAATGTGATAATGCATAGAGAAAAACGGCGAGTCACCCGAGCCGTGAGACCCACCAAGAGGATCGAATTCACCGAAGCCGACGGTGAGACCGAGGGCAGAATCGTGTTTCAACTCGAAAAGGAAACCGAAAGAGAAACGTTCAAAATCAGAGACGAAAATCCTTGGGTCACGGTCGAGCCGAACGGTGCGGTACGAGTGAAGAAGAAGTGGGATTATGAAGAGCTTGGACCGGAAAAGACCATCGACTTCTGGGTCACAATCACGAACGCCGGCGTTGGAGGTGAGTCAGAAGTTATTTAAATAATATAATAAATTACTTCTATACAATAGGAACTCTGTTGTATATGAAAGCAGAGCGTGGGTGTCGTCCCACACAAAACTTCCTTTCGATGTAGGTCGAGACAGTAATCACGTCCGCATGCTTATAATTTACAACTGGTCACAATTAAGAACATATGTCAATATTAGCTGCAAAATCCTCAAGATTTTGAAGTTATTAGAGAGATTTGTATAATGTTAGCGAAACGGTATCACCAAATTGAGTGATGTGCGCATGCACAGATTTAACGAACGCTATATGAAATAGCGCCCTACGTTATTTATCTTATAATAGCGTGCTTATTAACGGGTGACAGTAAAGCCAACAAAGGATGTAGTTTTTTGTTGGAGATATTGTCCAATTTAAAAAAATGTTAAAAAAGTAGTAATATAATTGTTTAATTTATAGTAAACATTTACAATTTGAGTAAGTTTTCATGAATCCCGACTTTTAAGAGTGCATGTATATTCAGTGTCTGAACATTAAAATATTTAGCTGTTTATTTATAAACAAGCTGGAATGACAGCTAGCTAGGAAGACATCAACCTTTTCCTTCAATAAAGCCACGTGCAAAACAGACCCTTTGGGTGAACCGCCTAAATACCATTTAAAAGTTAAAATTCTAAGACCAGGTATAGAATGTGGTTATAATGTGTATCTATATGGTTAACTAATTAAGTAATATTTCGGTTTTTCCTAAAATTGCTAAGCTAAGAGCTTTTTTTCGTAAGGGTTTTTGACACGTTTCATCCTCAATTAAACTGAACTGGCCCCGAATCGCCCGGTAATTAATGTTTACTTTGTACGTTCGAGCTTTCGTCAAACAATCAAGAGAAAATCCATAACATCCATGAACTGTGCCTGCTTACAAGTTTACAAGATACGACTTTAACCTCGAACCACCACGAACCACGTCCCAGGAAACAGAGTTAGCGGCAAAATCCGTTATGCAAGTCTTCAAATAACGTCGATGTTCAATATATCGGTGACCTTGAAATAGCGGAAACCTTATGCACAATCTATCACTTTTCACATACTCCTCCCCAATAAAAATATGGAATCAATAATTCCAGTATTTTAAGCCTTTTGTTTTTTTAATTATTATCTTAAATCACATTTATTCACATCATAAAAAATTAATTTTACTAAATGATACTTCACATCTTTCTCGTCTCATCTGAACTGAGGCTAATGGCTTCCGATTTGAACGTTCACGGACACAAGGAATCTGGTATGTGTTAAGTTATGGAATAGGAGTAGCATCGCCTCAATATTTTGATGTTAACCAAATACCAACAATCGCAAAAGAATGCGAAAACATTTACAATTTCACCATGCACTTAAAGTAGCTATTTATGAGTAGTAAGGCGAATGCTACGCAAGCGTGAAGATGCAGACAAGGTGCTCACTGAGACGAAACAATTATTCGAAGAAAGTAATCAACAGCAATTTTGAAAGTATTTACTTTTTTATTTATCTTCGATAATCTGAATTTAGCTTAGACATCAATGTGTCAATGAATGCGTTGAGCCCGCCAGCTTTGAATCGAGAGAGTATTTGAATTTCCAATCTGGTAAAAGTTAACGAAACGTATTTCTTAATGGAACTTTTGAAAATTTGGGTTTAACGACTTCTCCTGTATAGATCTGTATTTGAAGTAATTTGCTGGCTTATCTCGCTGTCGGAAGTGGGCGCGTTAATCAAGCAAAAAGAACTTTTTCTTTTATAGAAACAAAGGCTAGAAACTTTCTTATTTTATTATTTTCTTTTTGTAATTTGTTTCTCATTAACCTCGGTAGAGCAAATGAACCTAATCAAGCCGGCAGGAAGAAGTAAATTAGTCCTTTTCCTAAATGGGATTGTACAAAACCAGTTTAATTGTTTTTTTCTTCTAACTTTTAAAACAAGTGTTTTAATAGATTGTGTTTGTATTTCTCCTAAGTTATTGGATGCTCAGCCGTGTCTTCCTTTATTATCCGGGATAGATCCAGATTTTGAACAAAGTCACATAATTCACATAAACGTCCACAGTCTCCTTCCCAAAAACCTGAGCGCTTTTACGATTTCACCACTTGGCTCAAATCCAAATGTCAAATAGCTATAATTTACAAGATAGGAATGAGTTATGTAAAGGCGCGGATGGGATGGTGGTGGTAACCGAGCTGGATGGATTGTTTGTTGATGGTCCGGCACTGAGAGTTGTTTGAAGCGTGGGAACAGAATCTTCTGCCGTCGAACCGAGATGAGGGGAGGTCACGACGTCTAGGGCTGGATTCAGAAGTTCGATTACAAAGTTCCAATAGCCGAGAGCTTTCTTTTCCCAAAATACTTTTAATAAATCCTTGATCGTCGATAGTCTTATCGTCGTTAAGTATGACAATCAAAATATGGGTCATGACCATAAATGCAACCTACAACATGTCAGGAACTTTCACATATTTAAAAACCACACTTTTGTTCAATTTATCGCATAAAACGCCGTTCCCTTACGAAAAGAAAAAAGATAAAATCGGCCTCGGGTTATTTGCCATTACAGCCTACACCTTTTGTTATTCGAACTGGCGATAATAATTATGAATAAATTAATTTTGATTAACTTCTTTGTTTGAAAAAAAAAATTCTTTACTTGGATTAGTATTTTGGTTGAGAATAATGACCAACCTATATTGTATAATTTGTTGAATTTGTGAGGAGCGGTCAAGAATGAGGTAGTTTAGAAAACACCTTTTTTATTTTTTTTTACCTACGTTTCCACCTTTATTCGGGCCATCTTCAGGGCATAAAATGTGGTGCTATTCTTGTAGTGTTATTAGTATTGACTTGTGTGAAAGTGTTGTGACTAACCTATAACTTGCTATTACAAGAATAGCACCACACTTTATACCCTGAAGGTGGCCCGAATAAAAGTCGAAACGTCGGCAAAAAAATAAAAAAAAGGTGTTTTTCTAAACTACCTCATTCTTGACCGCACGACATCGACAAATTTTGAAACAACCAGTCACTAAGAAACACACTATATTGTATTATGTATGTTGTTTGTCTTGTTGTGGTTTCTTCTTTTAGAAGTAGGGTGATAATTATTAATCTTGTATTTTAAGCAATTTATTTTATAATACTAAAATTCTTTATTTAAAAAAGATCTGCAATGCATTTTGGTTACTCTGTCCGTCCCTCTCATACGGCAGGTTTTTCTCAAATTAACTTGGGGTTTGTGTAAGCCAATTTTTTGCTAAAGTTAATCACCCTACTACACACGTTTGCCAAAATAACACAGACAAACCAAACGGCCGAATTGGACAACCAAAGTACAGTATCAGACATCCCAAACTTCAAGCGCAAATTAATGACTTCATAATTAATTTATATCCATTATATTTCGTGGTCCGATTGAAAAAATAACTTCTTTCAATTTATTAATCTTTATGTGAGGTATTGGTTGAAATGAAAAAGTTAGTGTCACGAGCGCGATTCGAACCCACGACCTTCGGCTAAATACGCCCTTCTCTACCACTTGAACTATCGTGACTTCGATCATTAATTTATATGTGTAGTATTTAGTGACCGTTAATCAATTATAATTTAGGGGTGGTGAGATGAGGACTGGCGAGTACAAATACTTTGATTAAACCTACAATTTCTATATTGTTTACATCATTGTATAAATTCATATACATATCTTTTATGTATTTGTATAATGTAAGCAATGTTTATAAATCCCAGACTCTGTAGATGATCTCAATAAAGATCGAAACATTGGCACGATAAAGTTGTTTCTGTATTGCCCGACAAACTATTTTAGTTTCGTTGACCAACTGAACAACACAAAAATATGTTATTACATCAGTCAAAATTGACCGTTAAATAAATTTGTTTATGCGTCAGCCATGCACAATATGGTGTGCAATGTTTGCTTTCTCATTGGCCAAAAGTGACCGTTACCCTTTTTTACACAGTCCCTTTTTTTGCTTTGTTGGCCTCCTGAACGCCTGAACTACACGGAAGTTTCTTATTGCATTGGTGAAAAATGACCGATTGTGCAGAAGTGTGTTTTACGTCGGCCGTGATGGACAGCTCCACAAACTGCAGAGGTTGCTTTCGCATCGGCCAAAACTGACTGTTACCCACGAAACAGTCTCTTTTTTTCTTTTGTTGGTTTACTGAAAAATACAGAAATTTCTTATTAATTATCTTATTATTCTTATAAGTGGCCGCTGAACATGTATGCTTATTCGTCTGCCATCATCGATCACTGCATAACAGAACGTTTGTTCATGACCAAATTGAACGTAGAAAATTTGTCATTAGCCTGGCCAAAAATTACCATAAAGAAAATGTTTTACTAAACCTACATCACACTTGACCGCATCTCACTATCTCTAAACAATCGTTAATTTATATCAGCATTAAAAAACGTTGTTTTGTTTTAATTTGCCGAGGGAAAAAGGTTTAAAATGATAAATCGTCACATTGAATGAAATCAAATATCTTTTCGACAAAGACTACTGGCTGCGGTTCGGACTGCACTTTGCTAACAAAGGTGGTAGCTTACGGTGATTGATAGCTCCATGAAGGCCTTCCGACGTCAAAACGCCCCGCCTCATACTTGGTTAGTTTCACGATTAATATGTTAGTTTTTAGCTGAAAACCCAGGAAAACAGCTTTAAAAATTTATACAAAATAAAAATTGCATCAGAAGCGTTTTTATAGAAAAAAAATTGGTCTAAAAGATATAACCAATGGCGAGCAAACTTCTGCCGAGAGTTAATGTCTATCGCACAATTTTATCTTTCTTACAATTCTGTTGATTGTATGTGATGTAATAAATGGGCAATCTTAGTAAATGCATGTGAAGGAGGAAATCTCTCTCAAGGATAGGTAAACAATAGAAATATTTTAATGTATTTAAATAATACACATATTTTTATAATACTTTACTTTACACGATTACTTACAATATTTTT